TGGCCGCTGCTGACGACACTGAACTCGATGCTGCAGAGTTTCGAGCCTTTGTGGCTCAACGCTTTGGAGAAAACAGTGAGACGCAGGTTGGCAAGGTGGCAAAGATGCTGCAATACGACCGATGCACTCCCGAGATGCAAGCCCGCATCTTGGATGCACGTCGTGCAGAGTGGAGCAAATATAGGAGCTTCAATGCTGCAATGCCTATTCGAGGCAAGGAATTGGAAGAGTTACTTCAAGAAGGGCATGTTCCTATTCCTATGCAATGGGTAGATGTGGATAAGCAAGCTCATCTGACAGGTACGCCTGAACATCGGCCAGAAAACAGATCTCGGTTAGTAGCTTGTGGAAATCACGAACAAGTGAGCCGTGATTCACAGGGTATTCGTTGCGATAGCCCCACTGCTGAGACTGAAGGACACATGTTGATTGCAAGCTTCGCATCAAGCCATCGTGTGACCCTATATGTGGCAGATGTTTCCTCAGCGTATTTTCAAAGTCAACCTATGACGAGGTTGCTGTTGCTCAAACAGCCACGTGGTGGAATTCCAAGCCCGGATGTTCCACCGGATGCAATGTTAGTTGCATGCCTTCCGATCTATGGCACGATCGACGCTGGCAGAGGTTTTTACTTGAGGATGAATGGTGAGATCACCAGTGCCGGGTTGAAGTGCAGTCGCATTACACCTGCATTGTACTATTTGCACAATTCCAAGGGAAAGTTGATAGGCATGGTCGCGACACATGTCGACGACTTGTTGTATTGCTACCTTGACGAAGGCAAGAAGACAATTGAAGGTATACTCAAAAGGTTCACGATTGGCAAAACAGAATCGGGAAGGTTCCGATACTGCGGACGTCAGTTCGTACAGCATGAGGACTGCTCCGTAAGCATTTCTACAAGTGAAAACTGCAGAACAGTGAAGCCGATCGAAATCGACAAGCACCGGAAGCTGTCGGAAAAGGTGACAGAGAAGGAGTTGACAAGCCTCAGGAGCGTTGTTGGTAGTTTGGCTTGGGTTGCCCGTTATGGAAGACCAGACCTTTGTTACCGTGTGAATGAGATGCAGCGTGCATGTAGCGCAAAGGCAACAGTGCAAGACTTGAAGAATGCCAACAAGGTTGTTGAATTGGCACTTCAAGGAAGTGACTTGCAGATCACCTTCAAGAGTGATTGGATTGACTGGAGCTTTCGCAAACGAAGAAGGCTTTAAGAGTCAGCAAGGCCGCATTCACTACATAACGAATGCGAGCAGCCTCAAGGAAGGCAGTCACAGAATGCATCTGATCAGCTTTGGTTCAACTACCCTCAAAAGGGTGTGTCGTGCTACATTGCAAGCAGAAGCATATGCTCTGCAAACTGCAGTCGAACATGGAGATCGCCTACGATGCCTGATTTGTGAGTTGACCGGACGACTTGATGACTTCAAGAACTGGCATGAAGAAACCCAGAGGCGAATGGCACACGTGTACTACACGGATTGCAGAAGCTTATCGGACCATTTACTGGCAGAAGTTCCAAGAAAGGTACAAGACAAGAGGCTTGGCATAGAACTTGCCGCATTGAGGCAAGGGGTATGGACTGTGAGTGGCGAGAGAACATCAGAGATCTACAGTCCCTATGGTGACCACCTGAGGTGGATTGAGACATCGAAGCAATTGGCAGACCCGCTAACCAAGAGCATGAAGCCGGACTACCTCCTCAAGACACTGGAAAGTGGCCTTGTGAATGTCGAGAACAGTGGCGCATGCGAGAAGGGAGCCAAGAAGAAAGATGAAGAAGTCTCACCTGACTTGTTTTGAGAATTCGACATGGAATGGCATGGTTTACGGCCCCACGGGGAATAGAGTTGCTTGGCTGCCTTTGTACAACTTGAACTGTAAAGCCCGCAACACACCTGTAGATAAGACGGGTGTGAATTTCAGCTGTTGTAGCCAGGGTGTATTGCGTACAGTTGATGCACCGTCGCTGCTGTTTCGGCTGAACAGGGCCCTTGAGCTGATTCGCTGCTGCGAAAAGGAACTGTGCGAGATTCAAACTTGTCTACGTGGGAGTTCCCGCTTTGACTGCTGTCGATGTCGTTCGTCGTTGTTTCACGTGCTTTCTGTGGCTGCCGATGAACCAAGCGTGTTCACAGTGGTGTTTCAAGACCTCCCACAAGGGGTGCGTGCGGCGGATCTTGAAGCGAGGGCGGTAGAAGAGGTTTTCCATTCAACTGGGGGGTTTGTTCATCAAGAGTCTACATTGCCCAAACAATACAATCCAACGGGCAGGTCCCACTGGCCAGTTCCAACGTGGCTCACTCACCTTGAGTGTCATCCTGAACAGTTCACGGACCCAAATATACTGACCACAGGATTGGTCAAAAAGAGACCGTTTTAAAGGATGTTTTCAAACCGGCGGTGAGATGAACAGCGAAAATCCGATGTTTGCCTTTAAACATCCTCCACAATGTGATTTAATTCAGCGAAAAACATAAATACTATGTGAACACAAATAAAGGACAGTAAGACCCACCTTACAATCACATTTGTCCCTGATACAGTTGCTTAAGGATCCCCTTCCGCGATTCCTCATTTGGGCTGCATATGTTTGGCATCCACAAGGACCAATGGCGCCCCATTTCTTAGGGTGCCACTGTCCCTCTTGAGGGTCTGTATTCGCAACTTCTAGATCAACTTTTCCCACAAGTCTTCATAGGTGAAAGGACACGTTTTGAAGCTCTCCATGTTGCAAGCCTTGAACGCGCTGTCAGGCTCCGCTCCGACCTTGGCCGTTGCGCCCGAGCCCAGGACGAACCAGACTCTGAGGAACACATGGAAGTTGAACAAATGGTCCCTTGGAAGACGACTTTCCTGTACGAACAGGATGGCTTTCCACTTCCATGATCAGTGAGTGGGAGTTTTTTCTCCTCTTCCAAAAGAGTGGTCTCCCAAGGTCTCCCGACGTCTCTTGAGTTTCAATAGGAGGATTGATCGCTATAGACTACCCTTGGATCCGCCCACCGGATCCGTCTAAACAGCCCGGAAGCTAAGATCGTCGCATTTTTAAATATATTTTCGTGAGAATCGGAGAGGAATCCCATGCACTCAAACCATGGACTCTTGGACTCGAATGTGTCGTTCTTTGTCTCCTTCATTCAGGTCCGTTTTTCTCTTGAAACTTCGCACGTCAGGACCCGAGGCGCACACATGCCCTGCGCGCCCGCCGCGCCCACGATGCCCTGCGCGACCGCTCCCACCCTCGGCTCGCGAGCGCTGTCCGCGTCGGTGCTGCAGCGCCGGGGACCCGAGTTCGTTTGGAGAAGCAAAACCACTCCAGGTATACTGAGTATACTGCAAATTACACAAGTTGCTGCTATAATGACCGTTTTTTCTCCTTGCCAGTGGAAACCACCGGTCCCAGCAAACACATGTATTTGAAATATCAGGTGAACAAACATGTTGAAAGCCAGCCGATAGGAGGCCTTCAGTTATCTAGTTCGTGCGAATTTTCAGTGAGAAGCAGGGGGTGTTGGGGCAGCAGACGCGGTCCCAGGCGCTCCCCGCGTCGTCGTGGTGACGGCACCAGTGACGGCGCCCGCCCAGTTCGAATCCGCGTGGTGCCGCACGGCCTCACCCGGCCTCCGGGCCGGGTGAGGTCAATTGATCAATTGGTTGAGATGGTCAGAGAGACAGAGAGGACCAAAGGATACCGGGGTTTCTGCTTCTATGTCTTTCGCTCTTTTCTGAACGCAAGTGGCAATGACTAAAATGAGAGTGAGAGGGATTTTAGACTGAAGCGGTCATGCTAGTGAGAGGAACTTTCGTCAGCAGTACCCGATAGTTTCAGGGATGTCTTTGACCACAGACATTGAATCGTGGCATAAACCATTTGTTTTGTGGATGCAGCATGCTCACCTAAACTAGGCAAGGGCTGCCGCATTGACACCGGCATGTCTTCCACTCTAGCTGACGGTCAGCTAGCTTTTTCTGGGCTTATGACCGGGTTGGGTGCATTTCTGCGGCAGCGATTCGAGCGTTGGTTTTACTGGTTGCCAAAAGTGCACATCAAGTCAGAGTCAAAGGAGTACCCAGCATCCGTGCCGTTGGAAGTGGAAGTCATCTCGCACGCCGCGAGTGATGTCACAAGTGTTTAGTCCCACAACCAAATTCAAAAGCAACATGAAAGCAACAGGTAAAGTGAGCGTTTTATGATGTTTTCTGATCGATTCTGGGTGATTCGCAGTACTATCTGGCCACACACCACTGTAGAGTTCAAGGAGTCTAACACTGGAGCTGGGTCCTGGTGCAGAATGCACCCGGAAGCTGATGAGGGCCGTGACTCCCGATCCACTGGATCTCGAGTCTGAGTCGATCGATGGATCGAGGCCAATGTTCGATCGGGTGATGGGGAAAAGACGCGCTGTGTTTGATAGGAGTTGTCCCAGAATTGGAACTGGATCGGGTGTTGGGCGAATTCCCAGACACATCAATCATTTTTCAGAAGCGGGCTCGGAAGCGGCTCGCAGCGCCAGGGTGGGTCTCACGTATCGAATTCCAGATGTGTTTGTTGGTATGGGGCTTTCTGACTTTTTTGGATGGTTTGGCCGCAGCAAGTTCGCACTTTTTGGCTGCAGCATGTGGATGAACACCCATTTTTTCAGTGAATTCACTGATGCGAGATTGCAGGAAGATGCAGGAAGAGGATCTCAGGCATAGAAGGTCGTGTGACAATTTGTGGAACACGTGGCTGTGGAATGATGGGAAGCCGCACAGTTTTCTTGACTGCTGTCTGTTGTCCATGCGTTCAGCTCTTTGCTGAAGAGCCTGTGATTGTGGAACAATATTGCCCGGGTGTCAAACAGTTATTGAAAGTAAAATGGAAGGGAATGACAGTGCAGCAGAAGGATCAGAAGGAGTGGCCACTACAGTATCCCTGTAAGTTTCTTCTTCAATTGAAACTGCTACAACATGGCATTTGCAGGGTCAATACCTCACAAGAGTCACAAGAGGAAGGAGCAAGTTGCTGCACACACAGCGCGGTGCACGGCTTGATGCCATGGCACTTCCGAATATGCCAAGGACCACGCGTTGCTGCACTGGCACGGGCAGGCGGGCAGGCCGAGACACTCGTTGAGTTCGTCAAGGCCACGGATCGAGCTGTTAGTGGAACCCACCCCTTTCGCTACCCGCTACGCCCTTCCACACCACGGCAAGGAAGTGCACATGCAACGGGCCCGATCGGGTTGTACCAGAAATGCGTCTTTGTCTTGGAACGTGGGTGAGGCCTCTTGAGGCCTCAGATCGGCCACAGAGCCGGTGGCACAGCCGGGACTCACCGCGGCAGATTTGAAGTGCCCCAGTTCCAGATCCAAGCGCACAGCACAGACGCGCCCCTGACGCGGAGTTTGGTTTTCCTTTGCTGTTCTTCGTCAGAGGCACCCGATGCGGCCGTTGCCTCTAATCCGAGAGGCAGGAGGAAACGCCCTCTCCGAGCAGTCCCACTGGGCGGTCCGGATGGCGAGCAGTCCGCGGCAGACTGGGTGGTCCAACAGTCCTCGCATGGTGTAGTCCCCAGGGCCGAAGACACGGTCCTGGTCCAAAGGTCCCCATTTTGGGGGTTCTTCCATTGTTAAGGTCAATGGCAATGGTGAAGATCAATCCAGCCAGATGTCTAAGTGTTCCCATTTTGGGAGTGCATGTGTGACCTGAATTCTCCAGGTGTGTTCAACAGGGCATTCAAGATCTGATGGCAGCTTCATCTCAGCCAAGTGGAGGTTCCCAGACAGAAAATGAACAGCTGTTGCGAAGTATTTGCGAAGTATCCCCGAGATGTGAGCACCTCTTTAAAGAATCAACGTTGGGTCTGTCACGTCTGTCACGTCCCGAACGAACATGCTCCACCAAACACTTCCAACCAGAATGCCTTCATCAGGCTCAACCGTCAGAGCTGCGTGCCTGTGCTTCGTTGCTGGCCGAAGCCCTTGTGCCTTGGCGTGTTTCTTTCCCTGCCCGAGACAAGGCCCGGCAATGAGAAACGAAGAAAGAAAGACAGATCTTGTATATAAATGCAGTCATTTCTTCCCTTTAACAAAGCTTGCCTCAGTTTCATCGTCTTATTGCGCCTTCATTCTTCATTGTCCCCTAAAAGGTCAAGTTTATTTGGGGTCTGTAAGTGAGTTGCTCAATCTTCTGTTGGATGTTGCAGTTAGGTTTTTTCCTGTCAAACTTCTGGGTCAAATTTGCCAGCGCTTTTCACGTGGTGACCATTTGCGTTGTTGTTGTTGTTGTTGTTAGAAACAAAAACAGCCGCCCAACATAATTGTCACATGTTGCAACTTTGGAACTTCAAGGGGACGAGGAGGGACACGGTTGAAGGTTTGAGTGAATGTTGGTTTAGTAAGTAGGTGGACTTGTTGGACTTGTTTCACTGAAGTCTGGGCTGGTCCGTTTTTAGTGTTTTTGAGGTGTTGTTCTGGAGGGGGGGGTTCCAAAAAACAACAACGGGGCTGCAGTCTTTGTTTCTAGGAGGGGGTAGAGACAACAACACCTTTTGAGGGGGGTTCCAAAAAGCAACAGCGGGGCTACAGTTTTTGTCTCTAGGATGTGGTAGAGGTTCTAAGTAGAACTTTTACAGAGGCTTAGCTGACTGGTTGCTACTACTACTACTACTACTCCTCCTCCTCTCACGACGACGACGACGACTACTACTACTATTCCTACTCCTACTACTCCTACTACTACTACTACTCCTGCTACTGCTACTACTACTACTACTACTACTACTACTACTACTACTACTACTCACGACTACTACAACAACGACCGCTACGTTTTTTCCGGGGGGGGTCAAAAAACAACGACGGGGCTGCAGATTTTGTTTCTACCCCCTTGTAGAGACAAAGGAACAAGATGTGTTGTAACGGGGCTGCAGTTTTTGTTTGTACCTTGTTGTTGTTGTTTGTTTGTTTGTTTGTTTGTTTGTTTGTTTGTTGTTGTTGCCGTCAAGGTACGCAGTGAAGTGACCTACGTTCCAACGCATTTGTTGAGCCCAATGACCCCAAAGTGGAACTTGTTCGGCTTCATTGCTGTTTTGGATCGAATGAGAACCATCGTTCTGCGCCCTTTTTTTTTCTGACTCAGGTGCCGAACGGCGGCGAGACTTCGACCCTCGGAGAAAGGGTTTTGGACTCACTACGTGTTGCTGAAGGTGGGCTTTGTATACAGTATTCTTTGTGAATTTTAAATTTGTGCTCCCCTTTCCCGTCACACTTTGCTTCTTTGCATTGTGTCTGAAATGTAGATAATTAGGCCACTCACTTATGGAGTCTGCGATTGTGATATATGGTTTGCTCATATCCACTATCATTAGGAGGCAGACAACACCTCCCAAGACCATGGTAGGCTGACGTCCGTCATGTGTCAAGCAGGCTGTCACGGTTTTGACCCCCAACCATATCCACTTTCCCTTCTATAGTAGCTATATAGTGAGAGAAACCTGTTTGGGTATTTCTTTTGTCTCCAGCGCTTCTTGTTCAATGGAAATTCTGTATTTTTCCCTGCAAACACACCGTCTGGGCTTGCATCACGTTTCCTCTAAAACATGTACTTGCAGATGTTTGTGAACACCATTTGTGACACACCACACCTGGCTACCTGGCCAGTCTGCTACCCTTCTTCCAAGGCTTGGCAAGGTCCGCCGCTTGTTGATGGCAATCCTGGTGGAAATCTCTCTAGTGCAGCTGGTCACGATCGTTCTTTGGGGATGGGAGACTGGTTTGCCGGAGGCAAGAAGCCAGGTCCTCTGTTGGCAGCGTGCCCTAAAACAGCCAAGAGCCAGCATACAACGAGCGGCCAGAGTTGCAGCAGCTGCAACCACACACCTTGATTGACACACACACACACACACTTTTTGCTTCACTGATGTTCACAATTCATTGCAAGAACTCGGCAGACAGTTCCTTCGACCTCCGGCTCTCATAGAGACAGCAGCCTGGAAGAGGAACCATTGCAAGAATGACAAGAACACGGGAGAAGTGCAAGCAACTCCATTCACAGAATGAACCTTTGTTTAAGATCTTGTCAAGTTCAGACATGAAGCTCTCGCATCCTCTGAATATAGACCAAACACATCCAAACACATGTATCCACAACTCCGCTTCCACAGATAAAAAAGAAACACCCGTCGACGCTGCCGCCGTCGACGCTGCCTCTGATTCCACCGCTTCGTCCTTGATTTTCTCGTTTTGAGGCAACGAATGATGATTGGAGCTTTCCATGAGGGGAGACGATCCTCGCAGAACTATCAGCTCCTTCTGGTACCCGGGCGGCGGTTCTTCCATGGCACGACCCAAAACGACCTGGGCGGCGCTCGACTCGACTCGGACCCACAACGACCGTTGCGAAGAGCCAAACGTGGCCCCCGGGCACCTCCCGGTGGCCCACGAGAGCTACTTGGTCCGTCTGTTCTTTTTCAAGTCAGAAAGTAATCAAATGGGACATCAGTGGATTTTTGCAGCTTTGCTTGCAAGATATCCAAGGTTTCAGCCTGATGATCCAATAGATATCTAGCAGCTTTCCGTTTGATCATCCAAAGATGTCCAATGTGACCTACTGTATGGGCGATTCTGCTAGCTAGCTCCGACGTGACTGGAAGCCGAACGATAGTTGTTTTCCCCCTGAGGTCGATGGAAACAGTGGGCCTCAAGCCGTTTGCGAGCTGCAAACAGATGGGAACACCATGAAGCTGTGGCATGGCCGCATGGTATTGAATTCGGGCGCTGTCTCCACAACTGATGCTCTCTGTGAACACTGTGCTATGAGGTCACAAGAGAGTCTTTCTACTCTTTTCTTGGTAGCAAAGGCCGCTTCACACGGAAATCGGGGTGCTGTATTGGGAGTGGTGGTTGTCCCGCCTGACATTCGCCGGAGCGACCGGGTCACCGGTGGCGTGTTGGAGTCACCCAATCCTTGCATCACGTACCTGGTGAAGCGAAAAGAAAGTGGGACACCGGTGATTTCGTGGGCTTTCTTGCGATTTGATACTCCTTTTCATGCTCACTCCTGGGCTAGACGGTCCATTTCTGGATCGGGTGAGTTGGGTGAGGTGGGCCCACATCATCCTGCCACCAGAATCTTTTCGATCTCTGACTGGTGCGACTCGTAGGGAATGAGGCAATGAATTTTTTATATATGATAGAGATTCCTACAAAGGAATCCAGCCACCCCCATTTCTTTCGAGTCGTGCGAGTCAGTCGTTACGACTTCGAATCCAGCCAGCTCCAGCTACCCCCCTTCCAGCCGCGTTGGCGCAGCAGATTTGCTCCCCACTCTCCTCTTTCAGACTTGCCACTCTCGCCCCTGAACCACCGAAACCAAGCGCCCTGAAGTTCCAGCGCTTCGACCGGCAGCCGCTCTCCGACCGGGCCGGTGCCGACCTGTTCCTTTCCACCCCTTTGGCCGGTGCCGACCAGGTCCAGCCTGGCGGTCCGCGCCAGCTGCCGCCGGCGGGGCCTGGCGCGCAGGCTGCTGCGGCGCACGGTGCGGAGGGCGAAGAAGCTGCGGTGCCAGGCGAGGGAGTTGCGGTGGACACCGGACCGTGGGGATGAGTGCCGAGTGAGCCAAGTGGATGGTAGGATGTATAGTAGGGGTGGTAGCAGGTGGTATAGACCTGGCCTGGGTAGTGAGGCATGGCCTGGGAGATTGTGTGGATCTTTGGATGGGACGTGGAGAGTTGGCACACGAAGTGATTCTTGAGCATACTGAAGAGAGCCTGGTTTGAGCGTGGATTTTGCGGAAAAACATGGAGACAATCTTAGGAATCTTTGGCTAACCACTAATTAGCTCAAAGCTCCTTGCTTTGGATACCTTTGACTTGCCCGTGGCTGTGGGTGAAGATTCATGCTGTTCGGCTGCCATGACTGCTAGATGTTGGGCGTCATGACGCCCCGGTGTGTCTCATTACCAGTAACAGCCGGCAACAGATTAGCACTTATTTTTACATTTCTTTGTGAAATGCTCTTCACTAAACATCATAGTTCACTGGTGCTGGCAATTAATGGATGATATCCCCAAGTCATGGCCTTGTAATGTCGCACATATCTCTGAGGGAGGTGGCAGGGATTCGCCGGTTCGCACCAGAGAAGGCACAACTCAAGTTTCTTTCTTCATGGCTGGTTTCAATTTGAGCGTTTTTTTTCCACAGAACCTGCCAGAACATCCGAAACGTTCGTATTCTCCAACAGAAAAAATAAGACATTTCTGACCCTGACTTTCACCAGAAACCGTATCCTCTAATTCACATGGCGACCTCTAAATCCCCTCCTAGGCGGTCCAACTGGACGTCTACGAAGACAACGTTCCGGCCACGGATCTTTACCGATCGGTGGGCTTCCGGCGCTTCGGTTGGACACCAGTGGCCCGGCCAGCAGAGCAGGGCAGAGCAGGGCCGAGCAGGTCATGGCGATGACGCGTGACGGACTCACGACAGGGGAAACGCCTGGCGCATTTGAAAGACATCTCAAGTCGCAATAGATGTTTCTATATGTTTCCTGTTCTTTGTTTCTCCTTCCCATGTGTTTCTTTCGCCCACATGCCTCCACCGTTGAAACAAACGTCCGGAGAGTTGGCGACCGGCCGTCGCACCGAAGCCGGGGGGGAAGGGTCTTCGGACGGTTTGCTTGTGTTTTTCTGATTTGGTAGGGCCAAAAGTCTCTAGAGTCTCTAGAGCACAGATGTTGGCCTCTTGGTTTTGTGGGATGAATGAAGTTTTGAAGCTTTGTTGGCGAAAAGCACAGCCCAAATCATTCCATTGGCCTGAAGAAGCTGTTACAGGTTTCCAGGGGCTAGCTGCTGGTGCTTCTGTGAGGTTGTAAACTTGGAGCTGGAAGCGTTGTTGGGGAGAACTTGTGGTCGCTGGCGCTTAAACCTTCTCTCGGAGGCCGGGAGAGACCTTGAAATCCGAAGGAGTGTCACGGGAAACGGGCGGTTTCCATCGAAACTACATCCAGCCGTGCGAACAAACATATATATATATATTTATATATAGCGATGTTTTTTTGTTGTAGCCCACTCAACCGGCTAGCAAAAACAAGTTGGCCTGGCTGTGTTCACTCTCAGTTTCCATTGCTTTATGGATTTTGTTCATGAGAGTCTCATGAAGCCTCGCTCCTTCAGAAACCTCCTGTCAGTCAAAGGAGTTCGTTTTGAATCCATTTCGCACTGACGGAGTCCTTCTTCCCACGCCGAGACTCGCCGCGCCGGCCGCTTCGCCACCCACCCAGGAGATGGATGCGGACTCCGCTCTTGCGGATGCGGAGGCAGCGCCCACGCTGGCGGACTTGGGGGCAGAGCTGAGCAAAAGACTTCTGTACCAGGCCGAAGAGTTGGAAGACGTAAGACGATGAACAGGAGGAAGGCACCTTCTCTTTTTCTGGGCACCAACGAATGCACAGAATGGATGTGTGGGAACCTGCTTTCATGTTCTGCAAAGACATTGGGATTTCGAGCTCATTTTTTCCGGATTTTCCCGAAATTGGATGTCTTAGGGGGTCTTCAAGGGGTCTATGCTAAAACTCTTTGGGGTCTCTAATTTATTCACTTGTTCCGTGAGGCCTTGGGACGGATTGACCAAGGCTCAGCTCCAATCCTGAGAGGTGCAGGGGATCATATTCTTCCCACTGCAGGGATGGTCGACCTTGGATGACGGGTCCCGCCGAATGCCTTGGCTGCCTGAAAAACGCCACCCGGGCTGCCTGGGGCCCCGGAGGCCCCGGAGTCCAAGGCTGAAACACGAAACAAAAGCAAAGAGATAGGACTCATCCGTCCTTCAGTCAAGGGATACCAAGGGCACAAGACCATCTATCCAGGTCCACCCAAGTCTGCCCAATGTGGATCAACGGAAGTCGATCTCTTCACGTCGACCGGCCAGGTGTTCCTTGGGATGGTTCTCTCGTCACTCTTCCAAGCAGCTTTTGGACAAGGCCCCGAAGCCAAAGCCAAAAGCATTAATGTACAAACTTCCAGGGACAGTGACCATGTCTGCCACACTTCATGGGACTCAGCTGCCTGTTTTTAACGGCTCACCCTGCCTTTCCCACAGAAGTTCTTGATGTTTATTCCAGAGGAAGAACGATCCAACGAAGGGAGTTCGCAAATTGAGAGGAGATTGGCATCATTGGAGAGTGTCTTCCCAACTTGGTCAGGTTGAAGGTCAAGTTGATCTTGGTGCGCAGGCCCGAATTGGCTCTTCAGTTTCTTGTATCACGGGGTTTCAGTTAATTAGCCGCTCATCAGACGGAGTGTGGAAGGAACCCTAGGCCCCATGTGATGCATTTCAAGATACACGCCTCGTTTGCGGTCCCAACTGGAAGGTGTGTGCCTCAGATTACGAGCCAGACATTGATGATATGCGAAAGCAAGTGCGCATAAAGTAGCAAGCGTTTTGCTTCTTCGTCTCTCTACCTTTGTGTTGCAACCAGCTTTGCGTGTGCTTTCTTAAAGCTTTGACCACCCCATACTACTAAGCCGACCGCCCCGATCGCGCAGCTCAAAACGGGGCGACCGCGGTCTATGAGATACAAGAACCGATGAAGAAAAGCACTTGATTGTGGGCCCAGACGGGGGCACGAAGAGGACGCCTGGACCCGCAGCTCGCTGCGGCACGAAGAGCGCTGAATCACGAGACATCTGGTGGCGAGAGCATCGTCGATTTCATTCCTTCACGAAAGGCAGAGCGTCAGAGAGATGTCAGAGAGAGGGGGAGCAGAAGACGAGACGACTAGGTTCAGAGCCAGAAACTTCTTGTTTTTCAATCTAACTTGCCATGGCAAAGAAGCGCCGCGCACAGTTTGCCGATTTCAGAGATCTCAAAGATCAACACCAAAATCTCTTCGGCTTGTTGGTGCATCTGGCACAGTGCTTCCCTCAGCTACCCAAAAATCATTGGGGCCAGGCATGGCGGCATGGCCACAGGTAGTGCGATACATTCAATTCTGGACCTTGATCCATGCTCATTAGCATTCTCATATTATCATCCACTAGCATCATCGTTTCTGTCGTGTTTGATTTTTGCTTTCATTGCTTTTGGAGTTGGAGTCTTGGCGATGTCGTCAGATGTTTCCCAGCACATCGCGGCAATTTTTTTGGAAGCGTGACGTGGAGCCCGAATTTCTCCACGAGGTGCAAGCTCCAAGAAGAAAAGGGAGAGGACCCTACGCACAAAGAATGGAAAGGGCAGTTCAAAATGCCAAGAAATCATCTTGTTCTTGACATGTTGAATCGCTCTTTTCCATTCTTTGGGGCTCAACATTCAAAACTCTGGAGAAACTGTTTAACGAGGCCCAAGAGAGCAAGGCGAAACGAGTGAAACGAATCAAGAGTTGAGCTCGGTGTTTCGCTTGACGTTGCCTTTCCAAGAGTTTCACGGCTTTGGAAAACAGTGACCGTGCCAGCTTATTGTGAGTGCCGCATTCTCCGAAAGATGTTGCGCTTGCCTTCCACCGAAACATCTTTTCCAAACTCGGCCTTGACACACCTCCTTTTGATGGTCCAAAGTCTGGATGAGTGATGATGAGTGTAAGATACTGCAAGAGGATCTGGCGAAAAGCCTTGTGACCTTGGAAGCAAGGGGGTCCCGCGCGGCGCCAGGCGAGCCTCCGCAGGATGCTCATGCTCCACTGCGCGGGCTTCGTGCTGGAAATCATCGGGAGTTCTCCACAGAAAGCCATCGGGGACGTGCTGGTGATCCGCATGTGGGGACGGGATGGGACGGGTCTTTGAGTCTTTGAGCCTTCCGTTCATTGAAGCTTTGATGGTTGACGTCCCAGGAAAATCCCAGAAAGGTTTTCTCTCTAAAATGCCTCGTAGAGCGTCCAAGACCCCAATTCACCAGGTACGATATGTATAGATTGTTTGCCAAACCTCATAGGCTCCTGATGGAAGTGGTATGATTGTGTGTTTGTGTTTGTGTTTGTGTGTGTAGAGGATTGTAGAGGGGTACAGGCAGGGTCGAAGCTCACAAGCTTGATGAACGTTGGACCAGAAATAAACCTTGTCATGGAAGCCCTTGGCCAGAAGGCCCGCGCTTCATGAATGGAACTTACTGTATGTAAACGCAACATGTCTGAGCCTGTGACCTTAATTTTCATTGATGTGAAAGGACCTGGTTCCAAGGTTCCGCTTGGAACGGATGCCACAGGTCATGGCGGTCATGACTTTCATACTCTGTCTGCCAGGGTGAAGATGCCTTCCTCAACCTTGGTCCTTCCGCGCGGCCATGGGGAGCATCACCCCCGCAATGAAAGCAGAAGGAGGCCCCGTTTTCCGCCACGGCATGTGGCCAAGCGGGCGCGGCCGCGCATGCGGCCGCATGCTGGAAGTGGTCACTACAAGATTCAGAAATCATCAGTTGGATGTCGTGAAACAATGCTGCCGGCACACCAAGACTCTCCCAACGAACCAAGAAGCGCATAGTAGCTACCGTGGAGGGGAGGTTTTGTCTCAGACCATTCGGGGATTGGTGTTGCCTACTGAGAGTGGTGCCTCACATGCCAGGATTTCGGGCTCGTGAAGTGCAGAAGCATCCGCCGTCCAGGGACATTTGGCCCGATCTCGAGATCGGGCTTGCGTGGACCAAAAGCCGGTGGGGGCCTTCGGATTGAAGCAGGGGGCCGAATTGCGAGGTAGGGACCGGTGACCTCACACCATGGGTTGAAGGACCACTTTGCACCTCAAATTCGATGTGCAAGTTTTGAGATGGGAGAACCGACTCGTTCGGCGCACAGTTGTGATGAGATGGGATTTCTTCATCCGAACCCACGCTCCTTCGGCGAGAGGGTAGAGATCGCGGCCTTTCGTTCGATCCAAACCTGGAGACCGAAACCAGGCGTTCCGACCCCCTGAACGGTTCGGACAACAGACCAGTCTACCGAGTGCCAGGTCTGAACATACACATCAAAGAAGGTATCCTTTAGTAGTGACCTTCTCTTCATTTGGTGGTCATACCGGAGCCATCATCCCCACCACACCACCGGACATTCGATCACGACGTCCCGCGGTGCCGCGGCGGGGCCGCGGCTCGGTTGGGGGCGAAGCTCTGCCGGCCTTGGCTCTTCGTTTTGGGCTCCGAGGCACAGCCATGACATGAAAAGAGCCATGAAACGATGAAACAGAACGTGCGCCGAGTAGATGAGCACCTGCCTGTATGAGGTCCAACGGGAGCTGCCTAACACTAACCCCTTGCAACAGGGAGCTACGGTAAGCCCACTAACTGGATGCAGTGCGCGTCCAGCGCGAACAGAAAAGTGAAGAAGTGAAGTGGCTGATGACCGCATGTAACACCGTTCATTAGCTGCTAGTTTCAGAGTGGGCTGACTGCAGCGCAGCAAGCTGTTCCCATGAAGCGCCTTTTCCTGCAGCGAGAGGGCAATGTTCCAGATTTCGGCCACCTTCCACGGATTGTTCTTCTTCGTAGGGGGTCTTGCTTGTTTGACTCAAATGGATGGACAGGAATTCGAACCACGCAGCGAGAGTCACTTGGAGTGACGGGTGGTTTGCGTCGTCCCATCCAGGGGCCGTGGGGATGTGGGCTTCCTTCCGACTTCCTCCGCGCACGAAGGTTCGTGAGCTCCGTGACTGGTCACAGACATTTCGTTGCTGGTCGACCAACACATCATTTTTCATGTGAAGTTTGTGTTGGTCGACTGGCTGAGGCGTATGTTTGAGCTATTGCTCTACGGGATGGTCCAGCACACAGTCAGGGCCGATTGTCCGGAGGACTGTCCAGCACGATGCCCCCAGCAGCTTGAGGCACGGATTGGAGAGGGTGCAACATGTTCGGAGATGCTGTTTGTAAGACATACCACGCAGGGACGTGTTTCTGACACATGCCACTTCAGTGCATTGTTTGGTATACCTAGTCCTGCGTCAATTCATTTAGTTGTGACCTATTCCAGACGCGATTTTGCCCGCCTGGAGAGATGGAATCTGTGTATCTCCAGTTCTTCCATGGTGCACGTCACGTCCGACCGGTGCACGCCAGGTGCAATCCGACTTTGCACCTCGGCCCGCCCCGTCCGCACCAATCGATGATCGCGGAGGGTGGGTGGGGTGCGGACGATCGACGGAGAACGGAGGTGGCGTCGACGTGCAGCTCCTCCATGTGATTTTTGAGGAATGGGCACCTGAGGTCTTGGCCTGGTGGTCGGTGATCTTGAACCACCAACTTCTAGTGGTTGTTTGACGATTCTTTCACCGTGGTCTGTTTGAAGGCCGCAGGAGCTAGTGACTCCAGAGTGTGAAGAAGCCACTGAGACGTAGATTTGAATCTGGACGGGGGTCTTGCCTCTACCTTCGTGCACGCCCCTCACAAGTTGCTTCTTATCGAAGGTCAAGACGCAGTTTGACATCAAGCAGTTCTGGGGTGTGTATCTTGGCCTTCAGCGCCAGGGCTTTGGATTATACAAAGGAGTAGTAGTAGTAGTAGTAGTAGTAGTAGTAGTAGTAGCAGGAGGAGTAGTAGTAGTAGTAGTAGGAGTAGCAGTAGCAGTAGCAGTAGCAGCAGTAGCAGTAGCAGTAGCACTAGCAGGAGCAGGAGCAGTAGCAGTAGCAGTAGCAGTAGCAGTAGTCGTTGTGGTGGTGCTAGTCGTAGTCGTAGTTGTATTGGTAGTGGTAGTATAGTAGATTAAGGGCCTTCACTCCCTCCATGCCTCCTCTTTCCTTTTGCATCACTTGGCTTGGCATCTCCCGCATGTGCAGACCACATCATCGATGAGTGTTGATTCGGTGAACCTTCCCCCTTCCAGGACCATCCTGGGACCAGGTGTATACAGGGATTCGCAGGCACGACACCCAAACAGGATGGTCCTGGTCTACATTCCCTTAACATCCCTCAACTCATCAACTGATCATGGAATTGGATGGCATGGTCCCTTCCAGTTTCCCTCTCCAAACAGGATCAAACAGGTGTTTTTTCACTTCGAGTGATTCTGAGTGGCTTTCATTCCAAAGGTACTGGGGAGCAAAATTAGAGACTCGCCTGGACGAGGTACTACGAGATCGCCTATCACGACAGCACGCAGCCACGGCGCTGGCCGATTCGCGCGTCCTGCCAGCGTTCGGTGAAGTCTCAGCATCCTGGAGATCCAAAGAACTACAAGGAGATCCAGAAGCGATAGGGGATGGACTGAAATCCAGAAGCTGATTTGAAGGTGGTGAGATCAGCAGGTGTCAAGGTCTCGCGCGCAGGACTTGTTCTCGCTGAATGTGGGCTTTGGACGCGGTGTCAATGCTGTGTGCGATTTGGAGTTCAACCTCACGGACCATCCGGGCGTCTTTCTGGGCCACTGGCCACTGGGCGAATGGGCGAGCGGGTGGTCAAAGAGCGGGTGGTCCGTCGGCGGTGCGGAAAGCTGGGTCTTGGGGACTAAAGAATCTGATTTGGGTCCGGAAAGAGATGCTTCGACAGAGACAGCAGCAAAACTACTGCGACACGGAAGCATCATGAAAGAAGGAAACACAGTCCGACACACAGACGTGGCTTCGTCTTAGCGAGACTTTCTTTCGGGAAACCACACGCCTTTGCTCCGACGTCTCCTTCGCAACGTCGAGGCGTGAGACGCACGTTGGGCCAAAGGGGTCGGTGTCAGTCGGGTCGCATTCGTTGGATGCACCGAAGGTCGATGCTTTTCGGAGTGATGTTTTTGTTAGGAGTGTTTTCCATTTGACCCGCGAGGTTGGCACAAGACCCACGGTCTGGTTGAACTGTTGCACAACAGGACAGGGTCGAGACTTGAAGTACTTTTTCGGGGTTTATGGTGCTCGTGCCATCACATTCACCAGGCTTGAAGACTTAAGACACCAGGCTTGAAGACCTAAGTGGATCTCAACAAAGAGAGGAGCAATCCTAGATGTGGCGATGCACCATCCCCCGAGCTGGAACCGTCGCAGGGCTCGAAGAAGAAAAAACACCACCAACACGGACCTCTCCACGTGAAGTCCAAAGCCAATGAGGACAATCCAAGGCATCCAGCTGGGCATCCAGCTGGGCATCCAGCTGCTTGGAGCTTTGTTGTCTTCTTTTTAAGACTCCCGTGTCTTCATCAGAGCCTTCCGTTTCTTTCCATGAGGTCAGGCCACTCGATCTTCAACCCCAACTTGACCGATGCCCGGTCAGATGGGAGACAGACAACACGGGCGGACTCGATCCTGCGGGAGGTCGGAACCCCCCCCCCCCCAAGCAAGGTCTGGGTGGACCCAAGAGAGGTTGAACAGCCTAACTTATAGCCCATCCCATACGTACCACTATGGGGGTCCTATAAGGTCTCTCAACCTCTCTTGGACTCTAGATGTTCCGGTGGACTTGAGGAGTTGGTTATCCTGTTCGACCCGACTCCCAGACCTACCTGTGCGAAGAGAACGGAGAGACATGGGGGGCGAGTCACAGCGTTGTCTGATCGTCTTCATTCACCTTCGTTCGCCATGAATCATGGCCTCCATCTTTCCAAGTTCGTCCATTGTTGACTCCAGCATTCTGGGCTGCGTCAACGTTGCCTCAAGGTCTGGGGACTCGCTAGGCGGACTTTCGGACTCTTGCGGCTTTGATCACGAAAGGTAGCCTTAGGCTACCTGAGCTTTTCTGGCCTTAGCAAAAACGCCGTTGGGGTCAGAGACCTGATCCCAGTGACTGAACGGGATGTGATTGTGATCGAAGCTGCTTTCCGAGGTCCATAGATTTGGAGGTAGATCCGCGCTGGTCACTTGGTCGGTGCTTTTGTGTATTTTCTTTTTCTTCTGCCGATCAGCTGAGGACATCCACAACACCGTGGTTGATGTTGGAGTGGCTGCCAATGGAACCTACAACTGGACTTTGGAGTTTCAGTGCAAGCACCTCAGTTGAAATTGCGACCATCGGACTGTGTCAATGTAGATCATGTAGGCATACGGTGCACAGTATCCTCCTAAGATGCCGCATAGGGGTTTGGACCCAAACACCTCGCTTCAGCGGTCCAACGGATCGCTTTTCAGCGATGCTGACCCGACCCGCTGGACCACGAGACCTGACCCGCAGGACCCGCAGGACCCGCGGCCCAATCAGATTTGTAACATCGTTTTGTGGACACCGAAGCTCCCGACCATGTGATGGGACTAGAAAACACCAAGGGACCCAAGCATCGAAGACAAGATGGCATTTGTCCCAGATGCTTTTTGCTGTCCTCAAGCTTCTCAACTTATCTATCAACCTCTCATGGTGAAAGACTTTTCCACAAGGAACGCGGAGGAGTCCAAGGGCATTCGCTTTGCTGCCGTGAACTTCTACCATCGAAAACCACAGATCGACGCGGAAGAGCCACCTGGATGGCAGAAAAAAACTCCTTGGAGGGAGTCTGCCGAACCTTGTCGTGAGACTTATCAATAGAAGAATGGATTCCTATCAAAACATTGATCGCCCGGCCCGCGGAGTCGTGGTTGATGTTTCCCTTTTCTTCGGTCTTTGGGCGGACTTGGAATCAGGAAGGTTTGGTCACAGAATTTCGACCAAGCACCACCCTGGTGCTTGGTCAACAAAGCGGACTTCGAAACCATGTCCCAAGTTCCCGGCTTTTGAGACATGTTTCAGTCAACATCCCGTGTCAAGAAGGTGTGAAACAAGGCTTGGGAGGAACGATCTGACTGTTGGGTTAGAGAAAAGTGACCTGTGTTTCGAACCATTTGGCAGGCTTATCTCAGAACAGATTTGAGATCAAACTCAACATTTGGGAAAGCCTGCAGGTGTTTCCAAGCTCCAGATGTGTTTCTCATCCTGCTAGAATGGGCTTCATGAACCGCAAACACCACATCACAGTGCCTGATGCATCAGTTTGCGTGCCGGTTATCACACTGTTTGGTGACTCTACAATGGAGATACCTACGGCAGTATCTGCAGAGAGGGAGGGGAATGCTGCCAGGCTTTGTGTACCGAAAATTCCATTTGGATACACTCCTCCAGAGGGTGACCATTTCTGCTTGAGGTTCCAGCTCATGATGAGCCGGTTGCGCCTCTTGGCGGTACAGACCACCCCAATGGATCACGAAACACCCAGTGCCAGGTGTTTGATCTGACGTTATTCGCTTCTGGAACACATGGTGAACAGGTGGAGCTTGGCTCCGCTTTTCGAACATTTGGGCGATTTGTGAGTCGTCATTTCCAAACTAGTGCATTCCGTCTTCCCCACCCAGAAAAACAATCAAAACCCATGATTTCTCCATAGCCTTCCACGAGAGGTTCATCACGAGAGGTTTGGCACATGAAAAATGGAAGGAACCACGCCACCTCTTTCAGAGTGCTGTTCGAAGGCCACCTCCAGGTGCTGATTTTTCCAGGTCTGGAGGTTCTTCTTTTCTCTTCCTCCGAGGCGCGCGAGGCCTTGGCTGGGTGGTGGACGCGTCTCCTGGGCTGACCTTCGTAGATCAACAGACGCTGGAGCTGAACCAAAAGCGACGAGGGACGCCGGTCGACCCACGAGCGCTGACTTGTCGACCTTGGGGAGTTGAGTGTTGTCCGTTTAGAAGCACTGACACTGTGGAAGCGTTTTGGACCGAAGGGAGAGTCGGAAGTTCTTCATTTTGAGTGAGTTTAAACTTGGACTTTCAAGAGCTACCTAGAACCTGAATGACTCCTATTTTGGATCACCAACCACCTAAAATATGGTCAAACTTCCTATCAAAACAGAGGTCAAACGGGTTCCAGGTGATAGACAGAAGATAGACAAAAGCCGTCCAGTGCGGAGAAGAGTAATCTCGCCTCAGTACTCGAGTTCCGAAGCACGAGGCGATGACGGGCCTTTTCAGCGGCCGGCCGAAAAAGAAGGTCACCAGCTTTTCTTTTGATTATAGTGGTCCTCAAATAGATCGTGGCATGGTTTCCAATACATTTTGAAAGAGATTGTGCTTTTCTATCTATTTGGGGGTCCATATACTATACTGTAATTTGCAAACAACCATTCCACTTTTGCCGCTCAGGTGGTGCAGTTTTCGTTGCACCATGCGAAACCAACCTCCGTCTGCGTGGTATTTGTAAGATGTCTTGTGAGGACTTCACCAAATTTTTGTCATTCCCACATTCCGCCATCGATTGAGCACGAGGAAATGCATTGACCACGACTCCTATCCATCACTGACAGCCAAGCCTGCACTTTGCGGGCAAGGTGCTCTACAGGAGGGGCAACTTGCAGGGGAGGAAAACTACTGAACGTGTTCACTGGCTTTGGAACTGGTAGTGGAAAGTCTAGCCACTTTTTGTATATGTTGTTTTGGTTTGCAGGGGAGTTTACCCCCCAATCCGCCAACATACATTGAGCCCTTTCTTTGAGCCCCACTGCACCTGGGCTGGGGTGGTGGAATGCTCATGACGACAAGAGTTCATCGGCGCAACGAGTAACAATGAGTTCATGGTGCCACGTGACATGGCAGAACTGGTGGGTACTGAGTACGGTAAAGGAATCTTGCATTGAAGCAATTTTTGTTTGTGACACAGGGCACCAGTTCGTCAAAGTGACATGACATTTTTGCCCGTTTCTGCTGGCAACTCCGCAGTGACCTGTCGAGGAGGTGATGGTTTAGCCAAAGCACTCAGCAAGCGCCTCCAATTGACCAACATCAGCCAGGCCTTCCTCGTCTTGGGGCGTTGGGGCGAGTGTACAAATCGAATAGAAAGCATTGAAAGCATGTGGATGATTCAACCAGGGGCTCGTCTCACGGAGAACATGCCCGGTCCCTCCAAACACACCCGACATCGGGCGAAAGGAACCGGTCATGATTGTGATGCAGTTGTCGAGCCCGGTCTCCGGTTTCTTTGGGTGAATTAATGGAAGTGCGCGAAACAACAGCCCTTCCTTTAAATGATGAAATCCCGAATCCCGAAGTGAAGAACTTCTCAAGTCTAATAGACTAGGTTTCGATTCAGCAATGACTCATCACACTAGAGTTCTAGACGTGTCAAGGTACCTGTAGCGAAGTCATCCACATGTACCAGCGCAGATGGCTGCCAAATTCTGGCCACATGTGCAATGTTCAGTAGCCTGTCTGTAGACTTGCTCAAGTCTGACACACACAGAATCAGACTGCCCGCAAATGTACAAAGACACCGCGGAGAGCATGTCTGAATGTGAAGGACAGTTGGTATGGCAGCTTTGCTGATATCCAAAAAAGAAGCCATGCACTTCTTGACGGACTTCTCAGCAGATCCATTTGATTTGCGTCCAACGCCCCCGGGTCCCGGCAAATGTTTATTGGTCGACGAAAGGCTCTCTGCCCAGAAAAAGGCCGGGCATTTGAAGCATCGAAACCTCAAAGCCCTTGGGAGTTGTCTTTGAGCTCACTTTCGGCCGGATTTGGGCTCACAGCGATCGTCGTTTGCCAACCCAAAGTGACTGCCGCGCCGGCTTGGCCGGCGCGAGATGGGATCTCAGTTTTTCCCTTATCGTTCTTTGTCCCGAAGTTTGGTGCCAGCAACCAGACCGAGCAATCTCCGATTCCAGCAGCATCGCAGAGCATCCTCATCTTCCAGACCTCCAAAATCTGCATCATCTGCTTCTGATTCCTCCCATGGCTGTGACCGGCATGTTCAGCCTTTGGGCCGTGGTGCCATTGGTCTGGGCCGCCAGGCTTCAGGAGACCTCCCAGGCTGGAGCGCGCTGGTTTTTGGGAGGAGTTTGTTCACGTTTGGTGGTCAACTTGGGTCATCGTGGTCTTGACCCGGAGCTAAAGGTTTTACTGGCCGGTGGTGGTTGTCTGATTGACACCTCAGTCGAAATCGAGAGAACTTGAGAGTGAAAAGGTGGACTTTGGATGCTCTGTGGTGAACGGATTTCAAATTTCAATTGAGAAGAACATTTCTGTTTGCTGGAACTTTTTCAACGGCAGTATCAACAGTGGTACAATCAAACATGCCCAATCCATGTGGAGAGACGTGTGTGCTGGACCCAACATCCGTCTCCAGCTCTTCATCTCCAGTCCTCTCAGGCACGCGCGGGCCGTTGTTGCTGTCGGCGAGCGGCCAGCCCCGAACCGTTTTTTCGACGGGGCTAATTCCGCGGAGACCCGGTGGGTGGGGAGAAGACCCGGTGGGTGGTGCAGCAGATGTATTTGTTCGGAATTTCTGGGGGGTGCAATGATAATGATGTGGGTTTGCTGGAGCTCCCTACTTCTTATGTATTCTTGGTTTTGGCCTGGATGTCTTGCATAGGTCAGCAGCACACCAGCATGCGGTGATTCCAACCTATATGACATGTTGATGTGACCTTGGATCATCAGCCTTACCCAGTCTTCAAAAGCACAGTGACTTCGAATGAGCAGTCCTCGGTAGGAAGCCTACGGTCCCACTGATAGTGGACCTTTGTACGGGCATGTATGTCAAATTGACACAAGCTCATACACACACACACACACACATTCTTTTCAACAAGAGTCAATGACATGCTGGATGTCCAGGTGGAGTGAGTGTCCTGTGATTATGCAGCTGTAGGATCTGGTTTTCTGATGAAATCATTGAATTTCTTGAATCCAATCCGTTTGTGCTGTGAAACTTGACGTTTCCACGTCGGGGTCCTGTCCAGTCACGCAGTGACCCAAGGTGCCAGATGAACTTGGTGTCGATGTTCTAACTTGCCAGCACTTTGACCGGAAGGAGAGCGCCCCGCATCGCCCACCCCCCATGCATCTAAAACCGCGAGACTTCTAACTGCGCCGATGCTGCCACAAGAGATACCTTCTCAGCCGGGCCAAATCTGGCAATCAAGTGTGGTGCACTTTGTGGTACTGTTGATTCATGGACAAAATCTTGCACCATCTCACTACTTTACCCTCTTCCAGGGTCGCATAGCAGCCCCCGTGCCCCTCAGTCGTTGGCGCGACCCTGAGGAGGTGGTCCAGGACTTTGGACTTTCAACTTGTTTTACTTTTCTCACTGTGGTGGCCCCAATGTTTTGGAGAACGAGGGCAGCAAGAAAACGGTGCGCAAAGTGGTGCAGGATTTTGTCCATCAACAGTATCATCATGGGAAGTGGACCATTTGTTGTTTGGTATTGGGACATCCCTGGAGTATACCTGTAAGAGATACAAAGAAGCCAACAGTTGTTGCTTTCGGGAGCCCTTTTCACCAGTGCTCCCGAGCGACCTTCACGCGCCTTCGCCGGACCCTCTCCGGAACGAAGCCACTTCTTCGTGGCGACTTGGCAGATGTAGATGCTTGACGATGTGGCGGTTTTGGGTCACTTGATCATCCAAGGTAGCTCATGTAGCCTCCCAAAGTGTCATGGCGGAAAGATGGAGGAGCACAGAGTCATTGGCGAAGCCTAGCGGCCCGACCCAACATTTTGGCTGATCTCGGTGTGCCACAGGGGGCTGCCCTGCAGGGTTCTCTCTCTCTCTCTCTCTTGTGCCCTGCTGAACCTTAGGCACACCCTGGGTGAATCAAGGATACACCAAACACCTGGGTGAATCTTCCGACCCTTCCGTTCATGCAACCCGCACGCCGCGACGCAGCTCGCTGCAGGACCTCAGCTTCGCGGGCTTGGCCTGCCCTGTGACCTGGCGAAGGGACATGGCCCAGAGCCGCATGCGACGGTCCAACACATCGAGAGCCGGTTGGTTGGACCCGACTGGGTCACGAAGGAGCTTTAGGGTTCAAGTGGTTTATATACTATGTCTTACTCACTCTAGGATCAGTGGTTTTTCATGCAGGATGTTGGGTTTATTGTTTTTGTTTTTATCCTTTTTCTTTTGGTACCATGGTGTCATGTTTGTGTCATGTGTATACTGTATACCTGTGTGGGCAAGAGTTGCTGCAACTATGTCCCACACTGCGAGAGCAGTTGAAGCGGACGACCACCACGACATGACCTACTGGTAGGATCAGTATATCTATGACCATCCAAGATCTCTGGAGACCTCAAGAAGCTTGATGGGACTGATGGGTGTAGAAAACTCTCCCTCCATTTTTGGGCTCCCCAGTGTGGTGAGAGTGTCTGAGGTGTCTGGTTCATCAGGTGAGCCGTCCGGGGTGTCCGGGTTTGGGGTGTCAAGAGTGTCTGACTGGCCCGGTTGGGTGCGAAACTCCCACAAGAAGACCATGGAACTCGGTGTGGGTGGGGAGTACGCATTCATCTTACAAGTTTACAAGCAGAACTCTGGAGGCCAACTCCACCCTGCCGGGGGATAGAGGATAGTTCATAGTGTATTGAATACGAAACGAGCAGCCCTGAAGCTCCGAAACGACTCTCAGCCTTTTGGTTGCAGCCCTTTCCTCCCTATCCTGACAACGTCCCCCGCTTTGCTGCTTTGTTACTTTGGTTGAGTAGGTGCCTTCCTTCCTTTCTTCTTTTTCCTGCGTTCTGTCTCACTCCTGAGCTTCCTAAGGGCGATTGGCTTGGCTCCGAGGGCTTTCTGCCGAAGGGCGCGGCCACGGAGCACTGCCACCTCTCCTGGCGCTTGGGCGCCGCGCCCGCGCGCGTGGCCGGCCCCACGGCGCGGTGTACGGACGGCCAAACGGTGGACGTGCGAACCAAGCAGAATGGGCGGATGAAGGCGGGAAACTGAGCGGAGAGAATTTTTTGGGTTCAAAAGCGACTTCTGGGTACATTTTTCTTTTTTGTAGATTTGTTTTGAACTTGTAGGTTTGGCCGTCTGGAAGACGCGTAGCCGCTGTGGCCTTGCAGGATTTGTGTCGATCTACTTTTGGAACTTGGTTTTCCCAGCAAACATGTAGATTAGAGATGTGCAGACAAAAAGCACACAACACATATTGTTGTGGACAACTGTTGTTGTGGCCATGTGCACTTCTGTAATGTAGGTAAAAAACATTCTTTTTCCGTCGCGCGAACAGGCATGATTAAGTTTCTTGAGGCTGGACGTGCTGGATTGCCGCAACTCGCGTGGCACTCAAAACAACCTCTGTTCATAGCAACAGATTTTGGTATGAATGTTTAACCGCAAATTCTTTCTAAATTTCTATATGTATGAGTCATTTAAAGCTCTGTTTCAGTTTCCTGAAGGTCAAGTGACTTCACAACACTACCTGAAGCGTGGCCATGGTGATTCAACACCTGAAGAGCAAGAAATCAACACCAAAATGATCGTTTCGTCCGTGTCGTGTGCGCATGCCGTGGTTGGGCCGTTGGGTGACGTTCCGCGTCAGCGGGTGACGAGTCACCCCAGGGACTCGGACGGCTGATGCGATGAAAGGACGACTGTAAGCGTCTCAGCAACTAGCGGTTCGCAGTGAACCGCTCTGCGTCTCTGCCAAGAATGGTTGAACCAATTGATCGGATTTTATGAGAGGAAGACGAAGCTCCGATCCATTTGGGTCCAAAGCCACTCCCAACGAGCCCTGTTGATTTGCCCCGCGGTCCGTCCCTCCGTCCGGCCGAAACGCCACGACCGGTGGGGGGCCGTAGGGGGCCGTGCTGAACACGAAGAACCTCTACGTGGCGAGCTTTTGGTCGGTGCCCTATGCCGCGGGGGCGGGCAGGCGGGGAAGCGGAGGGCGGCATGGAGGGGAGTTGAGGAGAAAGGAGAAGGCTGAGAAGGCCAAAGGAATTGAGTTTTTGCAAGCTGCTTCAGTGATCTTCAGTGCATGTTGTGGTTTGGTGTGTGCATTCTTTTTTCAAAACTCCGGGGGAGCTTTATCGTATTGTTGGTGAAATGTATTCTACTACACTATAACTAGGTCCTACAGATAAAGATGGATCTGCTTTCATCCACCAGGATGGACTGCAGCACTCTACAGTTGGTGTCACCTCTGTTGGTGGCTTCCATGCACACATTCAACGGACATGCTTGACATGGCTT